GAAACCCCAAACCATACAAATTGCACGGATTGCATGGAGCACTGGGTGTGGTGCAAAACCAAGGAATACTGTTATGCTGAAAATTAAAAGAAAAAAAAGAGAGAGACCCAAAACCAGGGGGAGAAGAAAGGAAAAAAATTATGATTAGGCTGGTGAATAGCCACAAACTTGATTTTGGGTATATTTTGGTCTGTTAGAAGAAACTACCTCCCAAAATTTTAGAGAAAGGAAAAAATGTGTGTGTGTGTGTGTGTGTGTGTGTGTGTGTGTGTTTGTGTGTATAAACACAATGAAAGGTTAGAATATGACTGTAAAGATGAAAATTAAAAAAGAGATTTTAAAAAAGGAATTGATAAGATAAGCAGTTGGTTGAAAAAAGAAAAAAAGAGAGAATGTGATCAGGTTGGAGACTAGAACAAAGGCATATGCTAGATTTAGGGTATATTTTGGTCTTTTAGAAGAAACTGTATCCCCAAATTTTAAAGAAATTAAAAAATTATACAAAAAATAAGATTAAATACAATGAAGAGATAGAATATGACTATAAGAGTTAAAATTATAAAAGGTTTTAAAAAAGGTATTGAGGGGTGCCTGGGTGGCTCAGTGGGTTAAAGCTTCTGCCTTCAGCTCAGGTCATGATCCCAGGGTCCTGGGATCAAGCCCCACTTTGGGTTCTGTGCTCAGCAGGGAGGCTGCTTCCCCCTCTCTCTCTGCCTGCTTCTCTGCCTACTTGTGATCTCAGTCTGTGAAATAAATAAATAAAATCTTTAAAAAAAAAACCACAAAAAACCTCTTTCAGAGTTTAAAATAAATAAATAAATAAATAAAAAGGCATTGGGAAGAAAAAATAGTTGAAATAGGTTTAAATAGGAAAGAGGAAAAATTTTAAAAAATAGAAAAAAATAACAAATTTAAAAAATTTAACTTTGAAAGACAAAAGAATCATGGGAAAAATTCCCATAAATTCTACATGCTATTTTCCCCTAGCACTGTTGTTTTGCAGTTCTCATTGATCAGTAAACTTGGTCTTGGTTGGATGGTCTTGATGATCTTCTGGGGGAAGGGCCTCTTGCAAGGATTCTCAAATGTCTTTTCCCAATGTGGAATTGTACCACCCTTGCCAGCGGCCAGGCTAAGTAATCTACTTGGTTCTGCTCTCGGTATCTTTTGTTCCCTGAAAGCTTTCCATATAGCTTTGGGGGATGGGAATGAAGACAGTTGCCTCCCAATCTCCAGCCCCACAGGAGTGGAGAGCTTGGACCACCCCCCCTTCAGTGCCTTCTCAGAGAAAAGCAGTCAATCATGCCTCTCTCCCCAGTCTCCAGCTGCACTCCAAGTTCCTCCAGCCTGTGACTGAGAGCTTTCTTTCTCTGGCTCACAGCCCTGTTTGGAGTCTCCAAACCCAGCAGATTCCTATAGCAAGCTCCTGTGCTGCTCCTCCTGGTGGAGAAGGGGGGGGGGGTGTCTCCTTGGATCTGCCACTTGTGGGGTCCCTGCTTGAAGATCAATGGCCACACTTTGCTTTGGATCATGGTTTATGGTAATCCTGAGCTGGGAGTGCACTCCTTACACCTGTCTCTGCAGCTGGCTTCCCTGCAAGTACCCTTCCCTGCTGGTTCCCTTCCAATACCTGGGAGCTCTGCCACACTCAAACACCCCTGGTCTTTCTGTGACCCGGTGGGTCCTGAGACCACACTGTCCCAGTGAGGGCTCCACCCTGGCTTAGCCTCTGGAGCCACATCCCTCAGTGGCGCAGACTTCTAAAATTTCTAATTTTGTGTTCTGCTGCTCTACTGCTTGCTGGGAGCTGGCCCCATCTCCCCATGCAGTCTATATTCCCATATCTTGCCTTGGATTCACTTCTCTGCACACCCTACCTTCCAGAAAGTTGTCGCTTTTCTGTTTATAGAATTGCTGCTATTTTTCTCTTCAGTCTCCTGTTGAATTTGTAGGTGTTAACAGTGGTTTGATAACTATTTAGCTGAATACCTGGGACCAGATGAAATTTAGGTCTCCTACTCCTCTACCATCTTGCTCCCCCCACCAACAACAGTTGGTTTTATGAAAAGATAATCTTTTGAATTTTTTTGTTCCTTATTTCTGCTCTAATATTTATTTCCTTCCTCTGCTACCTTTGGGCTCAGTTTTTCTTCTGTTTCTAATTCATTATGGTGTAGAGTTAGGTTGTTTGAGTTATGTCTTATTTATTAATGTAGGCATTTGCTGTTATGAGCTTCCCTCTGGGAACTGCTTTGCTACATCCCATAAGTTCTAGCGTTTTGTGTTTCCATTTTCATTTGTCCCAAGATATTTTTAATTTCTTCTTTGACCTATTGGTTGTTCAGGAGAGTATTTAATCTCCATTCATTCATGAACTTTCCAGTTTCCCTCCTTTTATTGATGTCTAGTTTCATACCATTACGGGCAGAGAAGATACTTGGTATGGTTTCAGGCTTTCTGAATTTGCTAACATATAGTCTATCCTAGAAAATGTTCCATGTGCATTTGAGAAGAATGTGTATTCTGGTGTTGTCAGATAGAATGTTCTCTATAGTTCTGTTAGCTCCATTAGGTTTATAGTGTTATTCATATCTGCCATTTCCTTATTGATTTTCTGTCTGGATGATCTATCTGTTGACAGTGGGTGCTAAGGTACCCAACTAGTATTGTATTGCTGTTCATTTCTCTTTTTAGCTCCATTACTTTTGCTTTATATATTTATGTGCTCCGATGTTGGGTGCAAATATTCACAATTGCTGCATTTTATAGATAGATTAACCCCTTTATCATTGTATAATGACCTTATTTGCCTCTTTTTACCATTTTAGCTTAACACCTATCTTGTCTGCTAGAACTAGAGCTATGCTTGGGTTTTGTTTGGTTGGCTACCTTTATTTGAAATTATCTTTTTCCATCTCTTCACCCAGTCTATGTGTGTCTTTTAGGCAGCATATCATTGGATTTTGTGGGGTTTTTTTGGGTGCATTCAGCCATTTTGTGTGTTTTAAGGACCTGAATCAGGCAGATCTACATCCAAGTTCCCTAGTCATGGCTATGCAGATAAAGCCACTGGCTGGGACTACTTCTTTGGCATTATAGCTAAGAACTCAGTTTTCCAAGATCTGACTTTTGGTTGTTGCAAGCACTTTCTCTCTTCTCCATCATAATCAGAATCCCAGTGGCCAAGTCCTGCAGATTTTCCTGTAATTTCTGTGGGGGAAAATTAGAAGGGGAACTGCTAAAAAGTGACCCACAATGCTAGAGGTGCTGAATGTCCACACAGCCCTCTCCATCTCTTCCCTGGAGGAACTGAGGCTCAGGAAAGACCTTGGCATAGTACTGTATCAGCCTGGAGGAGGGGCAATGCCATCAGCCTGTAGCTGTTCCTCTTGCTCTTCTAATGTGATCTTTTTTGGTCTCCATTGTATGGGGGTGCTTCAGCATCACTCCTGCATTCTAAATTTTCTCAGTGGTCTTATCCATGAATAGTTGTTAGGTTCCTGACTTTGCTCTTCCTCACAAAATGGAAACTATGTCTCTGTCTTGGTGATGTTACTCCTTACACTTGATTTCTTATAAACTATATCAGAAATTCTCTTCTATAACCTTCTTTGCCTTTCTCCCTACAACAAACCTAAAAACACCTTAAGATATTCACCACATTTTCTTTGTACCCCAAACGGGGAAGGTGAATAAGTATACTCACTGCATTGGTAGAAAGAAAGAGAAGAAGAGTGGGCAAGCAGAATGGTGGGAGGAAAGAGGAAGTGAGGGAGAGAGTATAAGAGGAAGAAAGGAAGAAAAGAATTGTATGCCAGAAACATATCAGGAATTGTGATTGTCTGAAGCACTTGGAATAGCAAAGGCAGAATTCCACAGGCAGAAAAAAATTCTGGCTATAGAGCTGTCTTAAGTTCAGTTTATGCTCAGACCAGTAGAAAGTGGTACTTAAATGTTTTGCTTCTTGGTCCTGACAAGTGTGTTTGGTAGTCCTCTACCTAGCTTTGAATGTTCATGGCCCATTCCAAACCCAAAGAAGGACTTGCAATTCTTTCTTTTGCCTTTGCTGCTCTCCCTGCCTCAAGGATTTATTGGGCCATGATGTTTGGAGCTTGGAGAGGCATAGCAAACAGAAGTTACAAGCTAAGTCAGTAGAGCGAGTTTTGTTTTATTGGAATGTCTCTTTGCATTTCATCTCTTAAGACTTTTCATAGAAGTTCCTCTCCCAGGGACTGCTGTGAAATATTTCACAGACTTCTTAGCCAAAGATTGAAAAGAAAACTCTTTCAATGGCCTTTTGTCTTCAGTTTCCATAAAGTACTTCTCTATAGTTTAGGCCCTGGTGGGGTTAGAATTTCACTCCTATGAACATCAGGTCGCGGAAAAACAAAACTAAGAAATGGTTGAAGTTCTGGCCTGCCCAAAGCCACTCTGACTGCCTGCTTCTATAAAAGCTAAGAAGACATCTATGGTCTTTGGGAATCAATCAGCTTAAGAGAGCACACATCTGAACGAGGACAGTGTTCGTTAGACATGGTAATGGGAGCACTCTCATCTCTCTGACATAGACAAGATGATAACATAGTTCAAGGGCAAGTTCTTCTATCTCTAGAAAAAGAGTTACCACAACAGGCATACTTAGAAACTTTTTTTTTCCCCCCAGATAGAATGGCTTCTTACTATGAGTAGCAGACCAGACTAGTAAGCAAGGTAATCAAAACAGCATTAATTATCATTGGCTATATTTCTATTTCTTCAACAAAGTATGTCAATGGCATTTTCTATATTCTTCTATGAAATTTCTAATTAGGTGGCTTGGTATTCTGAAAAGGTAGTACAGAAACAAGATGGAAAAAATGGATTTAGAAAAAATAGTCTCTTTGAAGGGTGAAGTGATTTCTCAGGAGTATGTGGGAGTAATAAACATTTCTTTAAAGATCCCACTCTGATTTCTCTTGTTCTATGAGAAAAAAATACAACAGAATTTCAGAAGACCCAACTGAAAATATTCCATGTGCATAAATTTATTTTAAATTTTATTGCATCACATTATACAAGCATTAAACATGGCTTCATGTTGATGACTATTTAAATGTGAAAATTTATCATTCATGTCAGTACCCTTTGGCTATTTACAAGTAAGGAATTTCTATGTACTTTATATATCTCTGTATTTGTATGTACATATGTAAGAATACATGACTATACATATGTACACAGAGAAATACATCTATGGCCATACACATAGCTATAGATATGTCATATATAATAATCTCCTCAGAAAGATCTGAAATTAAAAAAAAAAAAAGAAAATGTTGTAAACAGGGTCTTGTCTCTATTTTTTGGTGACATGGAATTAGGAACATATGATGACATTCTAAGAATGTGTGTCCAGGTGTTTGAATACTCTTATTAGCCCAGTGTCTGTAAAATTCACATGGGGTAGAATGCAAAAAAGGTAGCAAACAGGCTGAAAAACAGGCCCAGTATACAAGTTCCCCTTGGTTTTAAAAACTTGAGAATGTAACTGACCATGACGTGCATGCTTGCTTGGTCAAGAATGGTCTATGGATAGATAGCAATTGTGTGCTGCAATGTGATTTCACAGCAGCATGATTTTCCAGTAGTCCTTTAGGGTGCTGACCCCCCTGCTGCTGCCAATGTCTGCGACATGCACTGCGGCTGCGTTTTAGTCATTCACTTGAATGTGCTTTTGCACAGCTGGGAGAAGTAAACAGAATTCAGGTCCTTGGTTTGGAAATAAACTATTACCTAGAAAGAGAAAAGAAGGCATTAAAACCCTATGTACACATGATGGCTTAAGAACACAGTGTGTAATGGTTGTTTTGTACTGACTATGCATCAAAAGCATTTAAAGAATTTGTAACCTCAAACCAAGTCAGGTAGGGTACAAACATTATTATGTCTGCCTTACAGATGAACAGATTGAGTCAGAAAGGCAGTCTGAAGCAAAGTGACATCCTGCCAACTGTTGCAGGCATAGAGTCAGACAGATAAACACTATGCTTTCAAGCAAAAATTAGAAATGGTCTCTGGGAAGAGAGCAGCCCATTGTGATGAGGCTAGAAGAAGCTCCCAGTTGGTTACCAGCCCTACAGACCAGTGCAGCCCCTGGGTGTAGGTAATGTCATTGCTTCACCCTGGTCTATAGCCACTGGAACTCCTAGGAGCAATGTTCTTCACTAATGTCTGCCTCCTACCCCCAAACAAAGCCTTCTGGATAGTCAGTCTTTCTCCTCTGATGTCTGACCAGAGCCACAGAAGAGGTGATCTGAATGGGTATCAGGACCAGGGGCTTGGAACAAATTCTAGGATTCAGAATATTAAAGCTGGATAGGCTATTAAAGTATTGTTCAGTCCAACTACTTTACTTTTACAAATGTGGAAATCGAATCCACATGAATATTCCATTCCAGGTCCTACAGATAGAGAATGGAAAAACCAGATCTAGAATCTGGCAGACTACAACAAAATGTTTAACTATACAAATCCCCTACAGTATTCTATAGCACTTTATTGCTTAATATGTGTCTCACATACATTGCCTTATTTGAACTGCATATCGGCTCTGCCAAACAAGAAGTCTCAGAAAAATTAAGCAATTTTCCCCAAATCACAGAGCCAAATGGCAAATTTGGGAAATAGCAAATTTATTATGTTGTAAAAAATGTCTTGATTTTAAGTGAAACCAAGGCCTACTTTGGAATTGAGGGTTAGAGCATTGTTCAATATCTATATACCACTATAATACCTGTGGGTCTGGGATTTGGGTGATTTCCTCCAAGTCTACCTTCATATCCAACTCATAATAGCCTTCTGGACTTCTTAACACAGATCTGGTGTGACACAAATTCACTAACATCTCTGCAGATATCTGCTACATCTTAACCAATACAAAAAGTGAAAAACATAACTTTCCCCCCCTTGTATACCTCATTTTTCTTTTGGAGGTCAAATTTCGAACAATGATTTCAAAGTTAGTCTTCAAACGAGTGGATACAGAGGAATGATGGGTGAGGAAGGCAAAAGAAATGCTATTGTATTAGATGTGCAGAATACCAAAAGAGAGCTCATCTAATCATTTCATCACTGAAGAAACAGAAGCCCAGAGGTTAACTGACTTGCCCAAAGACACATAGCTAATAGAATTGTCAGAGAGAAGGTTTCAGAAAAACTTTCTGATAAGATATGTGGGAACATTATGAAACTTTCTTACAATGTTTTTAGCCTTAATCCACCTAACCTTTATCAACTGAATTGTGTACAAAGGGTGCCATGTATTTAACACTATGCTAACTAGTTGAAAGAATAAAATTACCATCCATAAGGACTTTCCTAAAGGTGCTTAAAATTGGGCCGGGGAAGCCTGATAACTATTTGAAAATCATAAATTAACAATACAGATCCATATATGTGTCAATACATGTAACACTGATGAAATAACCAGGGAAGTTTATAAGAAGTGAGACTCAGTGGGCTGATGAGCCTGGGGAAAACTTAGAGAGTATGGTGTGACATGGACCAGCCTGGTAGGAAACAATAAATGGGTGATGAAGGGAAGGCCCTCTTGGGTCAGATAAAAAGGTGACTTTCAAACTGTGGAAAGAACCAAGATGCCCTTCAATGGACGAATGGATAAGGAAGATGTGGACCATATACACTATGGAGTATTATGCCTCCATCAGAAACGATGAATACCCAACTTTTGTAGCAACATGGATGAGACTGGAAGAGATTCTGCTGAGTGAAATAAGTCAAGCAGAGAGAGTCAATTATCATATGGTTTCACTTATTTGTGGAGCATAACAAATAACATGGAGGACATGGGGAGATGGAGAGGAGAAGAGAGTTGAGAGAAATTGGAAGGGGAGGTGAACCATGAGAGACTATGGACTCTGAAAAAGAACCTGAAGGTTTTGAAGGGGTGGGGGGTGGGAGGTTGGGGGAACCAGGTGGTGGGTATTAGGGAGGACATGGATTGCATGGAGCACTGGGTGTGGTGCAAAAACAATGAATACTGTTACACTGAAAAGAAATAAAAAAATTAAAAAAAAAAAAGGTGACTTTCCATCCCCAAGGCAACATGACTCTTCTTTCTGTTTAAAGATAATATCCAGACTAGAGTGGAAGGGTGAGAGGGAGGTTTATTTCAGGAACACTGAGGCCAACTCCTAAAGACCTTGATTGCCAGACCAAGAGTGGCATGGAGGTAGAGAAGAGTTGCAGGAATTATGTGCAAAGGGAAGATAAAGTTAAATTGTGCAATTTAGAAACAGGCTGGTTTGGGAAACTTCTAAGGAGTTTGATTCCTATCAGTAGGACATGACAAGCTTTGACTCAGGAAGTTTAAAGCAACTCCTTCAGCCCAAGGAGAGGTTTTAGACCATGAGCACACTTCTCACCTACCTGGTCATGGCCACTCATTGTGGTGTGCTTTTCCATTTTTCTTCCTCTCCTTTCGTTCCTTTTGGAGACGTTCCAGTTCTGCTTCATACATCATCTCCTGAATCAAGTACTTCTCTCTTCTCATTCGATCCCTTAGATCTTTCGGGAGGTCTGGGATCAAATATGAAATGAGGTGCTTTATACAAAACACGAGGTGCTAAAAACATAAAGGAGAATACAATAAGTTAGCTCTATTTACCATCCTTAGCTGGAAAGAGCCCTGGAACTTCAAGAACTCCTCTCACTCCAGCGATGTGGAGCTTCTTGAGTGTCTGGAGAGTGGAAGGAGGCCGGGGAAGTATGTGAGCAAAGATGATCACAGGGATAGGTGAGGACTAAACTTGGTCTGATGACAATTCACAGGGAATGAGAAAAGGAATCAGGAAAGAATGTAGAGAAGGAGTGGCCAGAGAATGTAAAGGTGAGCCAGAAGTACCTATACCATGAAGTCAGGAAACCCAGGGTTGAATCCTGGCTCCGTAGCTTTTATTACTGAAGAGGTGTCTGCTTACCTGGGAATAAGTCACTCTGAGCTTCAATTTGCTCATGTATAAAATGGGCATCATCGTGGAATATTATAAGAAAACATTTCAAAATGCTTTGCAGATTGCCAAATTTGCTTTGCAAATTTTGATTACGAAAATGACCAGTAGGCCTAAAGGAAGTGATCATTTCAAGAAGAAACTTTTTTCTGGTAAACTGCCACAAATTCTTTACCTGACTTACTTAAAGCTGAAACTCTAGAAACACTGTCATTTCTGTTTGTCTATATGATGACAAGTAAAGTATTAGATGATAATTTAAAGACTTTCATTATTCTAGAGTATTAAATAACTGAATTCCCAGGGAAGAACAGCTTGTCTTTTCTTGGTTACCTGGAATAAAGGAAAAAATGATGGAAGAAGAGGTACAGGAAATGTCCAGTCCAAGCCAAGAAGTAGTCCTGGTTTGCATTAATCTGACTTTAATATATGTGACAGGAGATGGAATTTCCATATATAAGTACAGTCATAGAAATGCAAATGATTTCTAGTAGCAATTCTCTTAAAGACTAAAAATAGATGATGTATTTTTACTGACATGTAATATAGGTAATTGCTAGGTAGATTAAAAGTCAATTTTGAGTCTAAGATAATACTTATTTATGTCCTGAGTGTGAGTAATGTTGTGATGACACACAACCAGAGGCTACCACTTATACAAGAGCCAGTTCAATGTTTTCCAAACTATAGTCCTTGAACATCTACATATGAAAGAATCACCTTGGAGGGCTTGTGAAAAGCAAATTACAGACATGATGTATCTGAGTCTCCAGAAGTAGTGATGGAAAAAGCTGCAGTTTTCCTAAAGTAGAAGAACAATGGCCCAAGAACACTAGCACTGATGATTTGTGACCTACCCATAAACAATCAATAATAGACTTTCAGTTGTTTCTTGGACAACTCAAGGGGAAGAAAAAGACTTTTTAAAGACGCTATATAAAATCACTGTAATAATTCTGGACATACATAATCACATTGAAAGTTCTCACACTTACATTTATGCATTACTCTTAGTTACTTAATTATGGCAAAGGAATTGGTTAAGAGAACATACCTCAAACACAATGATAAAAGCCAATCGAGCTGCGAGGACATGCCAAAACTGCAGTGTGTAGCCATAGGGCACCAGTGAATGAGGAGGGTCACGGTAGTCTCGGTATCTATAAATATACAGGAGAATGAATGTTATATTCCGAACTTATTTTCCTGACTCCCAAATCTCAATTCCCACTATGTAGTTCTCATTCATCATAGATAGTTCAAAAAGTTTCTCTATCCCAGACTGTCTATCTCTATCCCTCTCTGTCACTTGTCCATCTTTTCTTCTTCTCGTAAAAGAATATCTCTTCTCTGGGGAATTATCCATGTGGGTTAGGCAGGGTTCACCCATGACCCTGACCCCAGTTCAAAAGATGAGTCAGACCTGATCAGTGAGAATCCTCACCAGGACTTCTGCTAGAATGACCATTTAGTAAATTATAACAAGTCCGCAGAAGGTAAAATCCTGGAGCTGCTGCTGGTTCTCAGAGACTGTGTGGAGAGAGCTTGCTTGTGAAGGAAGTCATTTGAACAACACAGAGCTAGCAAAGAGGCACTGTCTTGCTGACACAGCTGGAGACTTGAGATCTAGCCATTACTAGTGTAGTTATCATCCTGCCAACTTCCCAGTTTCCTGAACCAATGAATTTCTTTCTAAGTCCATTTATACTGGGTTTCTGCCACTTGCCACTGAGGAGGCTTTCCTAATGTATGCTCCAACTATAACTTTTGGGTCAGCATCAAATTCCATAAACATTTGTGAAATACCTGGTTCCTATTAGGAACCAGGCACCTGTCTGAGGAACTTAAATTCATTTGACTCCATTTTATCTTTGCCACCATCATTACTATTATCACAGGTAGGAAAACTGAAAAATGACTCTCAATATTGTAGAGTTTTCACATATCTTAAACCCAGTGTTCTTTTTCATTAGCCCCAGAAATGTGGAAAGGTCTGGAGATGCTAATTCTTCTAACAGTTCTGTGTGTAAACATACCAAATTCCCTTCTCTGAGGAAAAGTTATGATTATCCAGGCTCTCATGTAAGATAGTACCTAACATCAGGATTGGCACTAATTTGTATACGAGGATACAAGACAATTCCTATGTGGAGTATTTTTTTTTAAATTATGTATAATTGACATATGATGTTATATTGGTTTCGGGTATAGAACACATTGCTTTGACAAAATTTAAACATTAGTATTCATCACCATAAGTATAGCCTCCATCTGTCATCACACAACATTATTACAGTATTGACTATATTCCTTATACTGTACTTTTCATCCTGGGACTTATTATATAACTGGAGGTCTGCAATCTCCATTATCTATTTAGCGTATTCCCCTACCTACCTCCACTCTGACAATCACCACTTTGTTCTCTGTGTTTAAGAGTTCACTTGATTTGTTTTTTAGATTCCACACATAAGTGAAATCATATAGTATTTGTTTTTCTCTGACTTATTCACTTAGCATAATACTCTCTAGGTCCATCCATATTGTCACAAATGCCAAGATCTCATTCTTTTTAAAGGCTGAGTAATATTTCATTGAAAGCATACAAACTACCACTTCTTTATCCATTCATTAGACACTTAGGTTGCTTCCATAGCTTAGCTATTATACATAATGCTTCAATAAACATAAGGTGCATGTATCTTTTTGAATTTTCGTTCTCATTTTCTTTGGGCAAATACTCAGTAGTAGAATTATTGGATTGTATGGTATTTCTAATGTTTTGAGGAACCTCCATAATGTCTTCCACAGTGGTTACACCAGTTTACATTCCCACTAATAGTGCACAAGGATTCCCTTCTCTCCACATCCTCGCCAACTCTTATTTCTTGTCTCTTTGATACTAGCCATTCTGGCTGGTGTGAGGTGATATCTCTTTGTGGTTTTGATTTGCATTTCCCTGATAGTGATGTTGAGCACCTTTTTATGTGTCTATTAGCCATCTGTATGTTTTCTTTGGGAAGATGTCTATTCACTCTATTTTTTAATCTGATAATTTTTTGGGTGTTAAGTTCTTTATATATTTTGGATATAAACCCCTTATCAGATCTATTGCAAATATCTACTCCCATTCACTAGGATACCATTTTTTTTATTGATGATTTCCTTTGCTGTGCCAAAGCTTTTTATTTCAATGTAGTCCTAGTAGTTTATTTTTGGTTTTGTTTCCCTTGCTTGAGAACACATATCCATAAATATTTTGTGTGGCTGATGTCCAAGAGATTACTGCCCATGTTTTCTTTTAAGAGTTACATGGTTTCAGGATTCACATTTAGGTCTTTAATCCATTCTGACTTTATTTTCTTATATGGTTATAAGAAAGTGGTCCAGTTTCATTCCTTTGCATGTAGCTGTCCAGTTTTATAACTGGAGGTTTCCCAATACCATCTGTTTAAAAGACTGTCTTTTCTCAATTGCCTCCTTTTTTCACAAATTGACCACGTAGGTGTGCATTTATTTCTGGGCTGTCTATCCTAGTCCATTGGCCAATATGTCAATTTTTTTCCTATGCAGAGCATCTTTGGAAAGTACCAAGGACTATAGAAATGAGCTGTCACTATTATCTTCACAATCATCATCTTAATTATCATTAATGCTTATGGTATATAATAATTATCTATTTTGTCAGTAAAATTATATTTATAGTGCATATCTGCTGAAATTAAGAATTAATCTATTAGTGCCTTCAAGCCATTGGTTCCCTCTATAGTGATGAGGATTAAGTAATTGTCTAGAACATTTTTATTCTAATATATGGTTATATAAATTGTTCCTGTCAAAGGTCCAAACTATTCAGGACTAAAAGTCTGCATGAACTATTTTTTTTTTAAACCTTTTGCAGAGCAGAAGAATCAGGAACTGTGCTTTCTGCAATTAAGATAACAAATGTGATTTCTGTGTTTCTTTAGCTACCTATATTTCAGATGTAGTCTGAGTAAACATTCTAGAAGAAAAATGACTATGCTTTTATTATATTATTTATTGTATTTATAAAAAAATTTATAAAAATTGTTCCAACAGTTACCCTCATTAACTCCTTAAACTTTTTTTTACATGACAGCATTTATTTTATTTTTTTTTTAAAGATTTTATTTATTTATTTATTTATTTATTTATTTGACACAGAGAGAGAGAGAGAGCACAAGCAGGCAGAGAGGCAGGCAGAGGCAGAGAGAGAAGCAGGCTCCCCACTGAGCAAGGAGCCCGATGTGGGGCTCGATCCCAGGACCCTGAGATCATGACCTGAGCTGAAGGCAGTGGCTTAACCCACTGAGCCACCCAGGTGCCCCACACGACAGCATTTATTAAAACAAGATTACTTTTGGAACATACTGCTCCTTTCCTATTAATGCCTCAACTCTGCTCTTTTGCCCTTCATTGTGATTGCCCTATCTCTTTGCTTCTTAGACCTTGTTCAGCTTTTCATTTGAAGAATGTTAGTAAATCTCTTCCTCCCCAGATCCCTCCTAAATTCACTGGGTGAAAAATCATGGTTTTCCCTTGATTGTTTCCAAAGACACAATATGGACATATCATTCTTAATTTTCTCCTACAAATTTGTAGCAAATAAATGAATTCATTTATATCAAATATAAACACTCATTAAATAAAAGTATGAAGGCTAAAAAGATTAAAATACTTTTTATGACCCAATGATGACAGAGAGTACCAAACATGACTCTATTTATAAAACTGTACATATATGCAAGTAATAATTTGCCCCCCCCCCATTCTGCTGTTTGGTTTTATGTGGTTTCAGTTACCACACCCTCCCTACCACAGTCAGGAGGTAGATGGTCCTCTTTCTGTCTATTGTCACGGTGCCAATAGTAGCCTAATGCTAGGTCACAATGTCTATGTCATTCCCCTTGCTTCATTTCTTCATGTAGGAATTATATCATCTTATATCATCAAAAGAAGGGTGAGTACAGTACTAGAAGATATTTTGAGAGAGATACTACATAACTTTTCTTATAGTATTTTGTTATAATTGTTATATTATTGTTGCTAATTTCTTATTATGCCTAATTTATAAATTAAATTTTATTATGTAAGTATGTATAGGAAAAACATAACATATACAGGGTTTGGTACCACCCACAGTTTCAAGCGTCCACTTGGGGTCTTGGAGTGTATCTCCCACAGATAAGCAAGGACTACTGAAATATGCAAAAATGAAGAAAACACTTGTTTTTAGGTGGTGATCTTACATTTTAATTAATGGATTTTTAAATATTTTTAAAATTAACATTCTTTTTTTTGAAGGTAAAACATATTTTTATTTTGAGTTTTTAACTACAGATTGCATGAAATGTACATTGTCTTTTTTTATTTTTTATTTTTTGAAATTAGTTTTCAGTGTACTAGAATTCATTGTTTATGCACCACACCTAATGCTCCATGCAATACACACTATTAATATTTAGAAAGCACTTACATTGTTGGCTACAGTGAGATGGCAATATCAGATAATTTCTATACAGAGATCCAATGGTTGAGAATATGCATCTATTGGCTCAACCTCTGTATAGTATACAACCATTTGTGGATCTGTCACAGAGCTCTGCTAATTTGTGCACAAAGGATGCAATGTGCTTACACTGGCACTTCTGAGTCTTGTTCTCAGAATCTATGAAATTTTTAAGAAGTTTCAGTTTTCAGAAGCAGCAGTTTTCTAGCCTTCCTACTCTCTTAAGCCATTGTATCAAAAAGTCAAGTTTCTCTTCAGAAGACTCCTCACTGCTACCCTAAGACAATTAAATTGCAGTGTGCTAATGAGTTTGGTTGTCATCTGCTTCACTGCCCTCAGTTCTCTCCAGACTATGCACTGGAAAGCACACTGAAACTGTATTTGGGGTCTTTCTCATTTTATGATCTTAGGTAATTCATGAAGTTTCTCTGGACATTGGTTTTCCCTAGTAACACAATTATGTTCTCCATCTCACCAGGTGCTAAAATTTTGAACTCTCCCCTCTCTTCTCTGAGTTTGCAGATGAATGCTTCACGTAGAGCTCTCAGCTGATGTGCCAGCCTACTCCTGATCCCACTGGCCTTTCCAACGAGGCAGAGGTCTGAGAGGTGCTCAGATGTCTTTGTGCTC